ATTTAGTTCCTTAACTTGTCAAACCACCTGACATTTTACATCTAAAAACACAACACAGTGGACCGTAGCAGCATATTTTTTGAAGTCTCTTACCACCTGGAATGCAGTAGATAGACTTAACATATGATAATGAATCATTCTGATGCTTATATGTAATTATCAGCATTGTCAAAAATAAAAACAACTTCAAAAACTGCAGCAGTACAGCCATCAGTGCTTATGGAGTTTGTAGCTTACATAACACTTGAGTCAGGAATGAAACTACATGTTTAAGAAAAAGTTCTGGATCAGTACCAATAACGGCAGATATTTAAATTTAGATAAAGCGATTGGATTGAAACCCTTGCATGTCCTTGTCCCTTGTGAATAAGGGACAAGTATAACAACAACAATCTAGAGCTAGTGCACTCCAAATGAGTGAGAGAAGAATAATTTAACAGACTAGGTTTTTTTTTTTTTTACCTGCAGTAACAAGTACTATTTTAAAGCCCTGTTTTTCTGAGCAGAGCATTGCAGAAGCCACCCTTACCATCCTTCCCATTATGCCTGTGCCCACAGTCTCTGCCTCCACATCAGAGATGAATTCTGCATGCTCCTTCTTCACGTAGAAGATCAGCATGATGCCCACCAAACGGATCAACTTCACCTGAAGCAACAAATTATGTGTTAACATATACAATTAAGTGTTTATGACAAACAAAATACAAAAACATTAAGCTTTAAGCCATTTAGTTCCATCAGCATCTTGTTTGAAGAAAACTTTAAGCAGACTTGTTTACTGGAACACATGAAGCAGAAGTGCACAAAAAGAAGCACACAAACTCCCACTGAGTCCAGCATTAAACACAAATCAAAAATATGTTTATTTTATAGCTGAATTTAACTGTCAGGAGCAGATCAGCCAAGTGTGCAGGGAGAAATGACACCTCTCTATAATGTCTATTCAGCTCTGATGAATAAACTAGTGGTGCAAACAAATGAGGAAGCTAACAAGACAGAGTCAGCACTCTGAGAAAGGGGAAATGAGGAAATAATAACTAAAATGAACTAAAACTTATATGTGGGTTGACTTGGAGAATAAAACCAAAAAAGGATAGATGCTGAGAAACTGGCTCCAACATGTAAACAGAGCTAAAACCTTCTGAATCCACGATGATATAAAAACCAGTTCTGTAAATAAAAACCTACTTACCAAGGCATAATTAGCTTCTTCATGCAAAGCCTCAAACACGGCCTTCATCCACTCCAGCTCCTTGGGGGTGTCACTAAAGAAGAAAGCCTCTTTGCTGAGATCTAGCTCCTGAAAACTACAAAAAAAGAGAGAGAAAAAAAGTTTCAAAGCTGCTCGTGTTCAGCAAACTTTTTCACTCCTTCACAGCAAAGCAGTAAATAGAAACGTAGGCAGGATCAGCGCGCATGCAAGGCTGAAATCTGTGGGTGGGAATGCGGTTTACTTGAACAGGTTCAATAGTTGCAAGCATCTGTCAGAGGATTGAGCAGGAAATGTCTGTCTTTTGTAACGGGATTAAGCAGAGCTCTTCTCCAGCAGGATGAATATGACTTACCCCAAGCAGTAAATGTCAGGAGGTTCGGGAGTGCAGCTCAGCCATGGACGAAGGCTCTCCTTTGGTGTCTGACCGTTCACATTGTATGTGCCAAGAAAGAATCTGTAAGAGAAAAAATAATAATCAGCATAACTTAATCTGATCGATCTGACTGGAACTTTTTACGTCTACGGGAAAACCTAGTGGCTTTTCTGAGCCTGATTTCCAGATGAGGAAGCAGAAATGGTGAAACAAAATTCATTACATATATTAACCAGAGCATATTCTGTTTCAATGCAATGCACTGGTTCATGATGAAAAACTTTGAAATTCTTTCTAACCAACTATAGGACGCATAAGAGAAACTGTCATAACATTTTGCTTTTTAAAAATTTCCAAAATTTCCAAAATTTTGGAAATTTGCTGGAACAAATTTCCAAAATGTTCCAGCATAACATTTCTGTGGCTTAATTAAAGCCCCTTTATTGAGAGCCGAGAGAAATAAAAGTGTCTGCATAAGTTCTCTACAACTGTGTGGATCAGAAAACTGCAGCACTGCCTGTCAGCTGGCTGAAAGAAGACCCCCATCTATGCTTTTAGATCCAAAGAAAGAAACAGTCTGAAAATATTATCAGATTGAGAAAAAATAAAACAGAATCAAAAAGATTAGACATAAATTAGGTAGTTTAAAAACTAGATGGAAAAAATAATATATATTATATATGACATTGATTTACTTGGTATATGCTATTTTAGCAGCAGTAAGGATTCTTGATGAAATTACATACTAATTTCACCATAAAGCTGTGGTATTTTTAATCAAGTTTTCATATTGTCACAGCTTCATTTTGGCCAATCCCAACATGACTATCGACATTATAGCATCCCATACAAGCTAATATCAGTGGACTATCAATAAAAAGAGCAAGTGTCTGTGCAACCCAGTTACAACATCACTAATTGTACATGCAAACAGCAGTATTTTCATTTTCTCAAAACTTCTAAAACACCAAACTGAAAATCTAAGTATGAAACCAGAAATTTAAACTTTAGGGGAAGCAAAGCAAAAACCTTCAAAGTGGAGAAAAAATACATCTGGTTACAAAACAACATAGATGTCTGCCGACATCCCCATTGGAGAGACACTGAACACTGAAGGACACCTCGATTGTGACACACACAGTACCAGAGCCTTTCCATTTAGATCTCCACTGAGATTTGCTCTTCAGGTCCAGATTTAAGATAGGTTTCCTTCCATTCAACAGCCCAGATTGACCCTCAGAGGTCATTTCCGCATGCAGTTGCACAGGATGGAAACAGGAACCCTGTTTTGTGCCAGTTAAAAATGTTCCATCCTGATGGCCTGGGTCTTTGTTACACAAAAAGATAAACTCATGTTTTATACAAAATATAGTATTCTGCCAGGCTTGAATATTGAGTACAGCCAGTAACATTTCTAACTATCCGGACTAAAACTGAAAGCCAAAGAAGCACAAAATCATCCATACAACACGTATCATTGACAAGAAAGTAATCATAAGTATAAACATTTCAGGATAAAAATACTGGGGCATCTTGATAAACTGGTAAGTAAATCAAAAGTTAATTTGACTAATAACTCAGTTGACCAGCTATGCATTTCAAGCATTCATTTTAAGTTTGCTTTATTTTTTAGTTTATGGCTTACATCAAATGAAAACTCAAAATTATGTTTTGTTCTCAGAAATAAACTCTTAATAGGTATATTTTAAAATATCACAAAAACAAAATCTTCCTAAGTCTTGAAAGCAACATAAAGCTTAAAGTGCTCTAAGATTTCCAGGTAAACAGCTGCACTGCTGATAAAACACAGTGAACCAACTTCTAGTAATGAGTTATTTTATAATTAAAAAAAATGAATTTACTTTTTGAGTAATGTGCACTTGTATGGCTACAAGTTCTCACTCGGTGGTTGAATGATAAAACATCCGTAAAATGTCAAAATATCATAAAACAGTCTACAATACTCCTACAGATCACTTGTGTCTAAAATAATAGACATGTCTACCACTAGGTGGCAGTATGGTAACTGTACAAATCAATGTGCCCAGTGTAAAAAAAAAAAAATTCCTTCAGTTACCTAAAACGCATGGAAAAACTAACTCAATTAAATTCAACTCATAATGAGTTGGTGCTGCATACTGAGTCATAGAATAGTAAAATAGTCGGATAGTGCTTTTAATAAAGCTTTGCTCATTTTTGGTAAGTAGCAATGCAAACCCACAAAGCCTCGATCTTATTTTTATAGCTTCTAAATATTGAACTCCCACACACCATACTGTTAGACACAAAGCATAAATGTAGATGCAAAAGACTTGGAATGTAAAAACTGCAATCAGCTACATATTTAGCTTTCTTGGTATTAAAATTCAACATCCTTTCACTTGAAAAAGCCGAAATGCAGGACGTGACTGAGACGAGGATCATACCTGAAATTCTCCAGATAGGTGTACGAGTCCTCACTTTTCAGCAGCTCACACTTGATGAGATTGTCGCGCAGGCCGAACTGCGGCATGGCCAGAATCTGAGCTTTGTTGGAGGTGGTGTGGCTGGAGGAGCGCACCAGATCATCACGCTCCTCTCGACTAGAAATGCTCTGGCTGCACCACACAAGTTTAAAAACAGACGGTCAGGGGCAGCAGGGCAGATGTGTCTTCACAAACAGATGAATGGCTAGAAAATGCACAGTTCCATTTAGAATACTTGTTTAGCAGCAAGCAAAGCCCCTGGTCAGACTGCAACAGGAACAACTCTTTTTCTAACAAAGACATTTTATTTTATATCTAAAAAAAAATAAAAAACAGATAATTTATAAGTACTATTTTATTGTATAGTATTATATATCAGTGACGTGCGGTCAGGGGAGGCAGGTGAGGCAGAGCCTCCCCTGTCGTCATTGCTATTTTCACCCTGTGGTTTGTACTATAAAGTACCTATTTTTTACTCAGCTTAACCAATTCTGATGATTTTTTTCTTCAAAATCGCTGGATTTTCGCATTTTCCCATTTAAATGCTCAGAAGCGAAGCCGGTGAGGCAGCAGCGACCTGAGCCTCACCTGGGATTGCGCAACCTCTCGCTAACTGCACTGGCTGCCATTCTATGAGAGCATGTTTGTCCTGTCTGTACGCCAGCAATAAATTGGCTAAAAAACATTAAATATATGGACTGATTTTCCATAATTTCGCTTATGTATATAATGTACAGTGTTTTTTGTCACCAACTGTGTGTGTATCGTGTTTTGTGTGCGGAGGAGCGATCAGAAACGGCAGAGAACAGACACGAGGGGAGGCAGGCAGTTCTCTTGCCTCATGGCAGGGGGCGCTCATGATCCCAGATATTGTGCCCCCACAACTGCAGAGTAAGACACAGTGAGCTAGCCATGGAGCTAGCCATACAGTAAATAAGTCAAGTACAGCGATATATTTGTTTTCTCCTCTCTTCCGACGTAAACATGAAAGACTACATTTCTACACTTAAACAGTTTTTTAAAGTGGATTTTCATTTGAAGCAGGAGATAATAACTAAAGGAAGACCAACACCGGAGCTGAAAGTTTTGCTTCGAGAGTTTGACGATTCTCAAACGGAGTAGAAAAGACATGCTGAGGTTAGACTTGGCTTTGGATGAACGGATATTTTTGTGCAGAATTGGCGGTGAATGGATTTCATTGATAGATAAAGGTAAGACAGCAATAAGATGTTTTTTTTAATGAAATGTGCATTTTGTGGGCAGTTTGTATGTCTAAATAATTCAGTAAAGTAGAAGCGGTAGCTAATCTACTACAGCAATTATTTATTAATTAAACATTAAGCCTAAAACATACAACAAGAGACTGAATATTCTGTTCTGTGTGCAAAATTCTTGAATGTTTTTTTGGTGTTAAATCCTAAAACATGAAAACATGAAGTGGCATTGTTGTCAGTTGCTATGGCAACGAATCTGCGTAGCTTGGCGAATACAGATAACTTTGCTGTGGATCATAGCACGAAATTAATACCTACATTTCTAAGTTTCACTGAGTTAACGCGGCTATGGATG